TTACACATCTGTCTCCCCCTTCATTCCAAGAGCCTCGTCCCACATTTCCACAAGGAACTGCCAGTTTACTTTTCCCCCCTGCAATCAGCACGAAAATCTGTTTTACTGAAGCTACTCCAGAACTATTACTGTTCTCAGTAGTGTTCCCAAGGACTTTCTTGCTTTTGCACTCTCTGGCACTTGACACTATTTCAGGCTACAGAAGGCACTCACAGTACTGGAAATCTCTGCTTGCAGCAGGGATGGACCAAAGGGGTTGGTCTGCTCTAACTTAAGGAATTCTGATGAAGAGCACATACAAACAGCAAACAAAGTCCAATCTGCTAACCTGTCTGAAAACATGGAGTTTGCTACACCATGATGCACTCAAGTCAGGGTTTTGTTACATGTGATGGTCAATAAGGCAAATGCAGTTCACAAGATTTTTCACCAGAAACTGAAAAGACACTTTCAGAAAAAGCAAACGTGAAGTACAACAGATTTTCATTTCATAAAGATCTTTACATGAAGTAAGAGAACTCATTATACCTATTTTGGCAGAAAATGCTTGGTGAGATTGTTCTTCTCTTTGCTTAGTTGTCAAAAAACGCAAGAAACAACAATAGATTGTGTGCTGCTGCCTCCAGCCTTGGACATGAGGCACTTTCCCAGAGCACTTCAGTCAGTGAAGGGTCTGTAAGCAAGGAGAAAAACACCCAAACAAATGGCAGACTCCCACGCCACTAATAGGAAATATAAACCACACCATTATCGGAGCCCACTGTGACTGTAACAGACTGAAGAGCTCCTGGCACGATCCATCTACACAGTTATATAATGGCTCTCAAGGATAATAATGTTTCAGAGTTTTAATCAGTACTTTTCAATTTTTAGGTTCAGTAACATCCATGGCAGTTGGATACGTCAAAGTGAACTGGGATCTCTCTGGAGAATTGACCTTGGGAATTTTCTCTGCAATGGATGCTGGTTCTCTGTTTCTCATGTACTTCACTGGGAACATCTGGGCATGTTATGCTGGTTACATTGCATTTAAGGCTTGCTATATGCTCCTTATAACAATAGCCACGTAAGTACAATACACAACTGTTCTAATTAAAATGATTTAAATCTGTGTCAAATTTTTAAATTTATCAAAATTTTACTGGAAGTTTCCCTAGAAATAAATTTTAACTAGGTTATGACAGCAGCATATATTATTTCTAGCCTGTGTAAAACTATGCTTAAAATTATATGACCTAATCACTACAATAATACAGTTCCTGTCAGAACAAGGTACCTTCTGCATTTGGCTGTTCAATGATCTATGTACAAGTGTTCTATACATGATCAAATAAATATATACCAGTATTTGAAAAAAATAGCCACTCAAGTAAAAGGTAAGTAGGATGCACAAAAGTCACAAAGCCAGAAAAAACAAGGAATTTCTGCCAAATTGCAATTGTTAAAGCTTAACAGCCAAGACTGAAGTGACTGTCCTTTGAAGAGTCCACTGGGCACATTAAAGTGCACACGTCCTTGCTCTCCATAGTTTGGCCAACCTGTACATTCATTGGCAGGTTTCAGATTGCTGTCAACCTGAGCATGGAGCGTTATGCTTTGATGTTTGGCTTCAACAACTTTGTTGCACTGGTGATTCAAACAATTTTAACTATTATTGTAGTAGATTCAAGAGGTCTGGGACTGGATATCAGAACTCAGGTAAGCTACATGACTGCTCTCAGTCCCCCTACTCTTCTCAGAAAGTGGGTTCTGCTCCAAGACTAGCCTTTGTGAAGATACCAGGTAATGTGCAAGCTTAGGCCAGTTAATCGGAAAAAAAGTTCATTTAAAGTGAACTGCTTTAAGCTACTATGACTTGTTCTCCAGTTTTGCTTTTCTGCTATAATTTTGAGAATATTTTCATAGAACAGAGAGGAAAGACCACCACCTATTACTCAGAGTATTTTTGCAATTAAAGGCTTACTATTCACAAATTTATTGTCAAAATACCCTAACTAGAAGCAGGAACCAAAACAAAAAGTAATCAATGGGTCCTTTATTAGGGTAATTCTAAGTAAGACAGTTCCAGTGGATGCACCATAAAATTTACTCTAATTCTGAAAATTAACTTAATTCCCCACTAAGTTTCTAAACTTACAGTTGATACTTATGTCCCAAATGAGGTCCGAGTCTCTAGCTTTCATCTTTGCAGAGAAGAGACACAAGTGCAGGACTGTTATCCTCCCTTACTGAGGTAGGGAAGGCAAGCCCATTACAGAATATTCTCTCCCCCTTTTACAACCTCAAACTTCCTACAGTATGTAATCAAGCAGTCAGACTTCGAGTCCTTTCAAATGGGATCATTCTGGGCACGGGTGACAGGGGAGGGCAGCAGTGGAGGGACACCTCTTATTATCTAACGGCAAAAGCAGTTTTTGACTCTTTCTCCTCCTTCTTTCCCACCTCCATTTCCCAGTTTCTCATTTATGGCAGCTACTTTGCAGTCATAGCTGGAATTTTCCTCATCAGAAGCACATACACCATTATCTCCATCAAACGCGGCAATACCAGCGCGGCTGGTGAAAGCACTGGTCATTAACAACAGAGACAAGAACGGTCACAAGCAACAGTGCAAAAGACTCCATCACCTGAACAACAATATATCATGTTCCATCAAGCAAAACTGGTGCAGGCTGAAGCAGGCTGTTAACAAGCCTACAGCACAGACAGCTTTGTCAGCAGCAATGCATTTTGCCTGTTTTCTTCACCAGTAGTTTAATTCAAAGTTAGTGATCGACACCCGAACTTTGATTAATGCTCTGAAAGAACAAGTACAGGCAGGTGCCTGAACTTCACACCAGAAGAACTTACAGAACCTCTGAAATGTCACTTCTACTGAGCATTTCAATTAAAGGCAATTTAGACCTCCGGACATTCCTAGGGAATATAAAACAACAGTTGCCCCTGGCAGCAAGATATCTGTTGGAAAGATTGCCACAAAGGAAACTTAACACTTTTTCAACTGGAAGTTGTGATATAGATTTTTGAAACAAGTTAACAAATAGCAATAAACAATTTTTTTCCCCCGAAAGACGCTACTCAAATGTTGGATTACTACCATGTGATTTAGTATAGCAATTCTGTCACTTTCCCAATGGTCAAATGCAGGCATTTCAGATTCCACACAGACAATGCACCCCTCAAAAATGTGAAGTGACAGCACTGTAAGGAAAAACATGTCATTATATACAGATCAACTACTACTGATGCAATGACAGCTTTACCGTGAGTTTGTTGAAGGAGCATGAACACAACACCCTGACCTTCCCTTTGAGTGTCTGCCTTGATAAGCATTTGCAATAATTATATCCAACAACTGCCATGACCCACACACACTTATCTTTGGAAGCAAAGAGCCTCCTAAACTAACTTATTTTTAAACCACAGGGAGACACTTCAGTTGCTATACAGAACAGTCTTAAATAACATGACTTAAAGTTTAAATATAACTAAAGCTAATTAGGGAATGTTCTTCCAACTGTCCACTTTCTAGTCAACTGTATCAGACAGCAGTAAATTCCACTGTATTCCTTTACCACAACTTAGAGATTCGTCAAGACTCAGAATTAACCAACCCACTTCATCTCACAAAAAAAAGTAAAAATCATCAATTCCTTTCAGAACAGTTTTGAAACGCTACTTGAGCTCATTTTCACGTCCCAGTAAGTTTTCCCTTCAAGAGGGCAGAATACTTGCATCATATAGCTTTCTTTCAGGAATTCCAACTAAATTTGGTGCTTTCCAAATTAATTTTTTGCTTCAGCATTTGTTTCAACATGGTATTTGGATGTTTGCAGCCATTAAATACCTTTCAACTGCAGTACCTGGACATCACATCTGCCTTTCAGAACAAGATGCATCCACTCCTACAACTGTAGCCTCTTCTTACACACATAACAGCTGACATTTTAGGACTGAAGTACTAATCTAGGAGGTCTCCATATTTCTGTATAAGAGGGCTGAAGTTACCAAGTGAAGTTCTTTGATGCTAAAGCATGAATACAGCTTTTTGGCAACTATGCATGAGCAATGGTGTGAACAACTGCAGAGACTTCCAAGATAAATTTATAATCACAGGTGAAGAATTCATTTAGTAAATATGGCTATTTTTAAAACCTAATCAACAAAACAGCTACAGTGGCAGTTTCTGCTCAACCTACAGAAGACTCAAAACAACACATGATCTTCAGCTGCTTGTCTGGAGTTTGGAAAATGCAAAATTAGTGAACATAGACTAAACAGATGTGGTTGTGTATAGTGGAGGTTGCCAATCTTTTATCTGCATTTAACCTAGTTATGAAAACTAAGGTATTCCACTACTTCTGCAGCACATTCTAGAACTACATGCCTTGCATACTTAAATCAATTTTGGTATCACCAAGAATCAGCTTCATTTGGATAAGGACAATTTCAATAGATGTTGATCTCATCAGCCCTTGCCCAAAGCCTCATTTATACCAATCAAGGTGAAGCAGGCACAGGATTGTTCCCCTTTCACAACACTGTCTGTCTCCTTTTCAGGACATTTGGTTGATTTGAAGACAAAAGCATTACCTTAAATAATTTTACAATCAGAGGTCAAGCCTTTCAAATGTCCTAGAAATAAACAGATCTAACATTCAGGCAGTAAATTAAAAGTGGAGTGTCTTACCTTCAAGAATTGTCATGGTTATCTCAAATGGGCTTATATACCCTTTTTCAAAAAAAGTAAAAATAAAAATCAACCTCACCTTATTTATTCCTGTTATCCTGAAAGCTGTAAAATTTTTTCTCCAGCTGGTCCAAAACCTTTAAGCTTGCAGTTTATGTATTCATGATATATTTATATTATTTGCTGAGTTCCAGTATTACACTTTAAGTTAAGCCAAATTATTTCTGTGTTTAAAACACCATCACCAACTACTCTGATACAATTACATTTTCTCAAACCTTATTACTATTACAGACTAGACAAGTCAGACATTTTTACCCCCTCTACAAATTCCATTCTAGTAAGGCAGGAAACATTCCTGTAAATTTAAAAATGACAAATTTAATATTCCAGAGGAGCTTTTACTAATATATATCAGTTTTTAATAAAAAGTGCTATTACATCTGTGGTACCTTGTCCTGCTGTCACACATTCTGTTCTCATCACAACTAGTTACCCTTAATCAGGTGTCTTTTGCAGCAAACCCTTTCTTGAGTGACTACCCTCTGCATTCCTTCAGTGTCCTTCACTACAGATATTCTATCCAAATAACCCAAGCTCATCTAACACTCTCCTGTTTGATAGGTCACTTCACTTGAGCTAGAACAGCAAACTCCATTGCAGGATACAAAGAAACATTTCCAAGTGAGGCATGTAAAAATTTTAAGCTTAACTCATTCTCTGGATACCTCATCTGTGTACAAGACTTGCAGGATGCACATTTTCATCCAATAAATGTTACTGCACAGAAATAATGCTACACAATTGTTTTTTCTAATATTTATTTTTTCACCTGCAAACTGTAGCAAAACATGATCAGCTTTATTATGCAGACAGGTATCCCTCTAACATTAGAGATTTAGGCATGTATAAATAGAATAGCTCTTAGGAAAGGAAAACGTTTTGAGAAATGAACAAACCTTCAATTTAACTTCATGACTTCCAATACCAACGGTTAAAATGATGCAGCTCATTCATTCCAAGAGATACAACAGCACCTTAAAGTGGCTGATCTATTCCCCAGTAACATTTTTCACATAACAATGTGTTAAAGTTACAAATACTGATATGCACAAATAGCTATTTTCTAAGAAAAATATGTACAGTACTGCAGCATAATGAATGTGGTATCTGCAATAACTTATTAGCCAATTTTAATATACATGATACCGCTACTTTTTACCTGCCAGTTCACAGGTTCAAGGATGTTACCACAGCCCTCTGTTTTGCACGTTATTACCTGGTGGGGGGGTTGGTTTTCTCATTTTGTTGGTGTTGGGTTTTTTTTTTTTCCTTTTTAAAATTTTTTAAAGGTACACAATGCAGGCTTTTATTTTTACTTCTTAAAGACTTCTTTTGTGTTTAAAGCTAATATCAGTGAAACAAGACAACAGTGCAAGAGGCGCAGAGATGTTATGTGACCACATAAGAGTTCTTTTGGGTAAAGTGTCTATAAGGCTATAAGAAAGGATTGGTTGATGAGCTTCCCGTTGGAAATTGTCCTGTTGGTGCACCAGCCTGGGGGAAAAGGACAGAACAAAAGTAAGGCAAGTATTTAAGACTCTTTTCCCATATTGTAAATCATAAATGCAGAATATATAAACCAGAAAATAACCTACGGGGAAATATTTCTGGCTTATATTGCAGGCCATTTTTTGGTGCTTCTCTGAAATTACACCACTGTAAGAACATAGTATCCAAGTACCTTTGTTTTGATTTGAACAGATGCCATGTCATCATAACACTGAATTGCAGTTAGCAGAGTCACACGCTGCTTCTCTTTACTTGAAGGAAGAAAACCCCAATATCTTTGTGTATCTCTAAATTAAGTGTTACAGATTATGCTTCTTTGGACATACAGAAGTTATTAATACCATGCAACAACTCACTTACCATAAAAGGGTTACTAGATACTCCAACAGCTGCAACTTGTCCAAAAGGAGTTACTACAGGCTTTGCTTGCCCAAATGCAGCAAAACCTGCTCCTTGGAAAGATAAGTGAAAAATATTAATACTAGTAAACAATCTTTGAAAAGTTCTTTGGTGCAGCTCCCACTCAAATGTAAGTGGAAGCCTGAACTGCAGAATCAGCAGGACTGATCCTACTTAAACATTATCACAAACATAAGCCTAAAAAATGGTGACTGAGCTTTGGTTGTTTTCAACTGTTCGTAACTAATCCATTTCCAATTTCTGCATATACACTTTTTTCAATGTTGTATCACATAAATTTAGGGAGAAAATACTTCCCAGTTTTCTCTTGCCTGTGTTCTATAAAGTTAGAGAAAGTAACAACGTGTTGCAGACACTCCAAAAAAGCCCTTCTTACCTAAAAACCCTTTAAGCCTGGGAATACTTACAATTCTAGTAAAATTTACTAAAATTTCAGTTTTGTCATTGCACAAGTGCACACAGCCAAGTTAGAAAGCTCAACTACAGAGCCAAAAAAGTGTGGGAACCCCTCATCAACATTACTACCAAGTTCATGAAGAAATAAATATGCACCCATTATTGCCAACTTATAGACAGATCATTTTCTTTATGTTTCCGATTTAGACAAGATTATCTAAAACATGCAGACCTACCATTTGGCTGCTGAGCAAAAGTAGTCTGTTGAGGGAAAGCTGCCTGGGTTGGGAACGTGGGCTGCTGGAAGTTGCCACTATAACTAGTAGGAAGACTGTAGGAAGCAGGAGTTCCAAATCCTGCAGGCATGCTCATGGATGCAGTACCAAATGTTGCTGCTGATAGGCAAAAAATAACATTCGATTATTTGTAAGAAACCACTTCTTCCATGCAAAAAATTACTATAATGCCGTGTTAGAAGTCTCCTAACCAAACAAAGGTTGGTTCAACTTCTACAGCCACTGAACTGATTTGCTCACTTGGATCACCACCAACTAGGTGCATAATTTACTTTTACACTTTAAAAATTAATGGAGTCATTTAAAATTTACTAGATCCAGCACATTCAGACATACTTTCTGAAAAGGAAATTATTTTTTGTTCTCTATGTTATCATATACTTCCCCCAGAGTTTTTCTGGCAGAAGTCTGTACACACCAGAATCAAGCACGTTCAGGCAGCCTAAGCCACTCTTTTTCTCCTTCTGAGGAGAGCATGAAAGCATCTTCCTACTTCAAGTTGCACTACAGTAGGTTACAAATCAATAACAAAAACAAATCAAAGGGATACATGCATCCCCTTTCTTCATCCCATCCTTAATGGCACGTTAAAGGAAATTCTCACCATGCACATTATTTGCACACAAAGTTCCTACTGCAAACCCTCTTACTGTTGAGGTAGGACTTAAAACAACAAATAAACCCAAAACTTTTCATCTGATTCTCTGCTGAACATTCCAAGTAAATAACATGCAGCTCAGAGGCATTTCCATGTGCCTTCAGCAAATAAACAGGAGCACAATAGGTGTAAAAGTGTAATAACAAAACCATTATTCAGTCTTTTGGGAGTTATTCTTGAAAGGAGAAGTGGTATAGAAGGATTTTTGGTACGAACACAGACACCAGGTATTCTATGCTAGTTAGACAGGACTTCTCTTTTGAAATGTTGCGAGTTAGATTTTATGCAAGCTCAACTGTTTAAAAAAGTTAATAAAATTAATTTAACGAATATAGCTTAATTACCAGTTGAAAAAATTACCCCAAAAATATTCAAGGGCAAGACATTTTACATACATAAACTGTTGACAAAGTGCACACAAAACTGATGTACTAACACTGTTCTCGAGTTACAGTGAGCAGAGGAGCTACTCAACAGGCAAACTTGCTAAAAACAGCAAACAAAAGCACAACAAAAGGAGCAGTGACTTGGGATATCCCAAAAGGCATCAAACTGTTGTTGGCAGAAACTTCAGGAGTCACTCTTTAGCATTATATTGTGATCATGGAGGATTATCAATAATGGTTTTGTTTTGGTTTCTCAACAGGTTGTCTCATGTATGTTCTTCTCTCCCTTTGCCCGGTTGCCAAATACCCACACCCGCTCCCTTTTAAAAAACAAAGTCTTCCAAAATTCTTTGTGCAGAGAACCAGATAGGTATCAATAAGCTTTTACAAGCAAGAACAATTAGCCACAAGAAACTTGATACCAAATGTGGCCACCTACCAAAATGAGCCTGAGGAAATATGTGAGAGTGCATTGCTCCCGAGAGGCCTTATGGAAGCCACAAAGAGACCAGACAATGTCAAATCATTTATACACTCTTGAACAGTCATTTCTTAGTTATAAATATATAGATAAATACATGTATATGTACCAAACAATTCATCCATACCAGCAATAGATTAAGCTAAAAAAACCATTAGGAATAAACACTACAAAACAGATCTCCCATGTAATAAATAGCAAAGTTCATGCAGCAAGAAAACATAAAAGACAAGCTACAAGTTAACACTTCACACCTCCTTATAGCCATTATCTTTGTCACCTAGTTCATAACATCAGGACAGCTGCCAAAGGGTTGGAACCTCAGCAAGCCAAGGTCGGCAGTTTAGAAGATGGAAGGATAGAGTTGCCATTTTCAAAGAAATTTATCTAAGGAGGCTACAAATTTTTAAAGATGATCCAAAATAGCACAGTTTGGAATGAGATTAAAGTAAGGGGAAAGATTTTTGAAAGATATCTGAACAAGTTTAGCTGCATAATATCTCAAAAGGCACTAAAACCAGGATTAATTTTAGCAGAGAACATGAATTTATCAATTCAGTTTTAACTCAGCCTGATCAGTTTAATTCAGCCGACCTAAATCACCAAGTAAACCAAAACTCAATGTCAAAATGCACACATCAGCAGATTTAATAACTGGAAGTCCAGCTAATAGATAAAAGTGTCAAAATTTAGCACTGACTCTGGAGAAGAAAAGTAGAATAACCTAGTAGCCATCTAAATCCAAGTTCAATGTTTTAAAGAAGTAAGTACAAGTTTGCTTTTTTAAAAAGTGACTTAGTTTTGCCTATGGAATTAGAATTCTACAAAATTCTCCCACAGAAAATTAATATAATAAATGAGTGTAAAGATTAAACATACACTTTACAAAAGAGAACACCAATGTACTGAGTAAGTGGACTGGTGAGAAGTTACCAGCCCAAGAGCCTTGTCTTTCCTGGTTCCAGCTCCAGCTCTTTGGTTTTGAGAGCTTTCAGCACTTTGAAATAAATAAATTAATTTTAAAAAGGAGTTTACCATGCTAGCTCTGCAGGGCTTTCAAGATCCCTAATTTCAGGGCAACCTGCTTTAAAGCATGCTTCAAAGCCAAGGTTATAGTCTTGGAAGGTACCCAACTGGTAATACACAAACTACAAACAGGCAGAGCTCAAACACATCACTTTGACATTTTTCATGGCCATCATTTGAAATCCTAGAATTGAGCCTTGACACTGAATAAACACACAACATGTCAAATATACTAGAGACAGAAATACAGAAAATAATTAAGAAACAAATTACACAGTTAGAGGGGAAAAAAAAATCATGGCAATTCTTAAAAAAAAAAAAAAAAAAAGGGGGAAAAAAAAATCATGGCAATTCTTGAAAGAAAGTTTCTCAAACACCTAATAGTTTTTTATCTAACCTGTTGCTCCTCGGCTATTGGTCTGGAATGGATTTGTTGAAGGTGCCACTGGGGCAACAGGGGCAGCTACAAATGGATTTGTGGAAGGTGTTGCTGAAAGATTAAAAACATTTTATTAAATAAGTCTTTTAAAGACCATCAGCCAAT